TTTGCCTGATCCAAAATGACGTCGTTTTGGCTAAGACTTAAAAAATAAAATAAAATAAAAAGGCATGATGTGCACAGCGCAGCAACACAAAGAAGAACATGGTTGTGTCATTTACTCATACAGTTGGTGGGCAGCATAGCAGAGGGGTAAATCCGGTGCCTCTAAGGCTTTTTCTAGAAAGGGGAGGTGCAGCTGCACCTTCTTGTGCTTGAATGGGCCTGTCAATGTTCCCGTATGAGATAATTTTGAAATAACCTAATATAATACTCATCTCTGCCGGTGGTTTTCAACTGCAGTGGTTTGGCAGCAATTTTCCCCCCTCCCCCCCACATTGGCACCTAGGTTCGACGCTTGATATTGGCAGAAATTTGTAAAGAACCAATTTAACTAATATCCCCTCTCCCAACGATTGGCAAAAAAAAAAAAAATTACTCATCTCTCTCCCCCTCCCTAACGAATGACAAAAAAAAAGATATTTTTTTTGGTACAGAAAAATTCAAGATATTTATCTGTTGAAATAAAAGGATAGTTACTATATAAAAAATTTAGGAAATACATTTTAAAAAAGATTATTGAAATTGGCTTACCAAGGTTGAGGTGGGGGCGCATGATAACCAAGTAGTGGGCCTGGGCCCACAAGTTCAAATTTTTGGACCGTAGCATGTCCCAAACTTCGGCGCTAAAAAAAGGTTCGTCCTCAACCTCCTTCTGTCATCGTCTCTTTCCTTTCTTGCTGCTGAGTTTGTTTTCTTAAACCAGCCCGAAATTTTCGCACCAAAACAAAAAAGTCAAGAAATTCAATTTCTTCCTTCACAAATCATAGCAGTCAATTAGGGTTTCAAATTTCATAATCAAACATTACATATATAACCCCACCTCTCTCTCTCTCTCTCTAAATTCTGATTTCCCGGGAAATTTTTCAACCCAAACATCACAAGTCCGCTGTCTAAGTTTCCGAGAAAAGGAGAATCAGCAAAAGGAGAATAAAAATTATATCTTCGTAATATCAAAGTAATTAACTTTTACGCATGGAATTCATTGGTTCATTTGCCTGAAACGAGGTTTAGAGAGAGAGAAAAATGGCCGAAGAAATGCAGGATTTTATGAGGAAAGCTTACGAGGGCGATGAAATCGATTTGGACTACGAGTTCGATGCGCCTAAGTTCTACGATTTCACTCAGCCCGATTCCGATTTGGAGGCCACTGAAGCCGAAGACTGGTTCCAATTCGCCGGAAGTTATCCACCTTCGCGTAAGCGATTTAGAGAAACATTTGTTTGTTATTTTGCTTCATCATATTCTCAAACAATGAATTTGGATCATCTTCAATCACGACCGTTTCAATTGACGATCGTTTTCTGCAATTTGATTTCAATGTCTACGTGTTTAGTTAATTATGCATCTTAATTAGTATTAATTCTGTATTGTTTTCTTTGTAACAATTTTGGATGCAAGTAGATTAATTTCTTACTTGTATTGATTGAGTGCTTTACAAAAGTCTACCACTAACTCTCTGTTTTTCTTTCTTAATTTTTTGTTATTTTTTTTAGCGTTCATTATAAAATTGTTGATGAATTGGCAAAAAGCCATTCCTGTGGAACCTGTAAAAACCTCTGCTGAATCCAAAGATGTTGAAGGCATTAGAGACAGTGATTCAAATACTTGCATGGAAGATGAGGTCTCTACAGCAGTAGATGAGAATAACAGAGGTACATTTTAATTTTACTAAATATCAATTTTATTCTTCCTTATGATTAACTAGGCATGATATTGTTTCTTACTGTTCTTTTGTATGTTCATGTTTCCACATTATTAGAATTTTCTAATCACATGGCTCAAGATACTCAAAACCCTAAAACAAACTCCCCAGCCAAGTCACCGCCTATATCAAGGATTTCAACTTTGATGAAACCCACAGCAAGTCAGTTGGCCAAGCAAAATCATCGTCGAGAACATCACTTGAACCTGTTATCGAGGAGGTGCTAATTTTTTTTCCCTTTATTGTCATCTCGATTGGCAAAATTGCCTTGCCTTTTCTTTATTTATAAATCACATTTTGCAGTATTCAAAGGTGTCACTGTATCATCATGTCCTACTAAAGATTGGTAAGACAAGATTGCCATTTAGCAGGTTGTGCATAAAGTTGGTGAAGCATTTTTCGTTTCGTGTCCTGGGGACACGTACTTTTTCAAATTTGATGATGTTTCTTTTGTGGATGATCTCTTATTCTTATTGATTGGTGTTTTATTTCTCTATTTCTTCCATTTTCGACTCTTGATTACACAGGTTTGGGAAGACGCTTGGGAAAGCTGATGTTAATTCACAGAAATCTCCTTCTAGTGATACCCATTGTACTAAAAGACAGAAGTTGGAGGCTGGCTATTTACGCAAGGTGCACTAACTCTTTTTTATTTGGTAGTTTAGCATCTTTGGTTTGATCTTTGTTGATGTCTGGAGAACGTACATGTAGTCTTTTTCCTCAAATTGGTTCTTTATCTCCTGTATACCAGAGGCGTATATGCATGCAATTATGATACATATGAGGTTCAATAGTGATCAATCTTCTAAATGAATTTCTGAAGGGTCCTTATAATTTTGTGAAGCAGGTTGCTGAACTTAAGCATCAACCGTTTTGGTTGCACAAGGTGCCAATAAGGGTAATGTACATACATACTGCATTGAGGTGTTTGCTGTTCGTAATTAAAAAAACA